AATGGGTACTGTGAATAATTATCCATATGAGAAAATGGCATCTGTGGGATATTCATATCCTCTAGAAAAGTGAAGGTGTTTCATGCCCTTCAACATTTCACACTAGCAACATTTTGAAAAGGCATCTCCAACATCTTCCCAAATGCAAAACAGGGAGGTGATTAACCAAAGTTGAGGCTCAGAAACTTTATACCAGCCCACAGTCTCTTATAAATGGGACAATCAGGAATAGATGAGCTTTGCTACTTTGTGAATACTTGTTATTTTTTAGCAATGGCCAGCTGTGAGCTACTAGTTCCCATCACACTGAAATCTCTCAGACTGACTTCCAGCTGTCTGTTCCTGACAAGAACCTATATGAAGAATTCTTGTTTCTTCTAAATATTTTACACAAGTTTAATTGCATATCTCAACACTTATTTCAGGTCAGTGCTTTTTCTAGAATGCCCTCTCCTGCCACTCCTTCCTATTTCTTTTGAAAGGAATTTTAACTTCTGTTTCCAGTGACTCTGTTACTCATACCTGACAGCATTTCATGGAGACAGGCAAACTTTTTTTTACAACAGATGAATAAGCAGTACAGTTAGCCAGTAGAGACAGCAAAGACAGGAGCGACATTTTTATTGCAATGAGGCAGATTTGGAAACAAGTATTTAATCCAAAACTTCCTTTCTTTTGTGGAGTCAAATTCCAGTTCTCCAAGCTTGTAACAGAAACACTGTTTGGACAGCATTGGTTGCCTGGCTCTTGTGATAGGACCAAGATGTCCCTGGAACAGTAATTGCACTTGGAAAATCATACCTTCTTTGATCGTCATCATCAGAATATGCCCTTTATCAGGTCAGACCAGAGGTCCATATAGCTCAGAACTGACTACATGAGAGGCCTCTGAACCCCACCAGAGCTTTCTGGCCCTACCAGGTGGTTGAAGCCCCATCAGTGAGGATATACAAGGATAGGCTAGACATGCTCATGGTAGGCATGTCATGAGTGAAGCTGGATGGAGCCGGGGGTCAGACTAGATGGCCTGGGAGGTCCCTTGCTCTATTTCTATGTTTCTGTGTATGTTTCTATGTCAGAGCTTGAATCTGGAACCTTTTATATGAAACGCATATGGACTATTCCTCAGCCATGGCCCTCAAACATCAGCACACAATGGTCTTCTAAATGCATATATACATGCAATATGCATACAACCTGCCTGAAGTGAGGGTAGGGAAAATCTGCTAGAGACAACAGTGTTTGCTTTGTTGGAATCTACATCTATCATTCTGTTCAACTGCAATGCTGCGTAAACCCTGAAGTGGGGGGTATTTGCTGAGAGTTCCCTCTCTCTCATTATTGCTATTTTCACCCTAAATTGACATATGTTATCAAATCTTAATTCAGGGATGAGACAGCAACAGAGCCAGTAGCCATAATATGAATAGTTGTATATCTGGAAAACACACATGAACACTTGTACAATGGTGATCAGACAAAAGGGGTAAAGATCATAATAGTTCTATATCCCAGCCAGAAATTCCAAACAGCAGCATGAAGCTCCCCATCCCTTTGGTCCTTGAAAATGGATCTTCTCCTCTACTGTCTTGCTGCTGTAACATTTTCTAATAATAACTCTCCCCAACTCCAACAATGTTCATCAAGGTCCAAAATCTTCAGCCCACTCAGTTCAAAACACACTTTCTGAAAGTTGACTGTGATAGCCGAGAGAGACCTTGAATCAGAATATAAATTCTGAATAAGTACTTTGGGGATAAGACTTAAATTTGTTGCTTTTAGGATGTTTGGGTTTCTGTTGTCCTTTCCTCAAACCAAGGTTTATAAAATATCTCCACATGATGGCAGCCAGATGTTCCCTGCATGGTTTGCATATTAAATAATGAAACTTTTCTTTCCATTTGGAAATAATAGCTTAATTTCACCACAGTCAAGAGTATAGCAACAGTCAGAGCTATGTTCTATCAACTGACACACAGGAGTCACTTTCAGTGACTAACAACTCTAAATCAAATGCATCCACAGCAAGGGCATTCCATAGTAATAAAACTGGCATGCTCTGCTCACATCACGATGTCAGATTCAATTCAAAAAGTTAGATGCTGGTATACAGAGTAGACAAAGCACTGGTGTGTGTGTGTGTGTGTGTGTGTGTGTGTGTGTGTGTGTGAGAGAGAGAGAGAGAGAGAGAGAGAGAGAGAGAGAGAGAGAGAGAGAGAGAGAGATTGGGTTGCTTGCTTTTCAATCACAGAATAAGAAAAAAGCCATTATTGCCTATTTACAGGCAAAAGAGGCAGAAGTGAGAGGAGACACAAAGGTTAAATTAGTTCCTCAAAGACAACAGGAGCCAGAAGTTTTGGAATAAAGAGCTAGAAGGAAGATGGAAGTCGAAAAGCATTATTAGATGTCCACCATTTCAGGTCATACTGTGTTCAGCAATGCTCAGGTCCCTGTATCACAAATGGACAACTGCAGGGCTGGGACAAGTACAAAAAAAGACTTGGCTGGTAGACTTTCCTTCCACCTACATTTAAATTTGGAGTATTCCATTTAGGGGTGGGGGGGAAATAAGGTGATCAGAAGGGGCAAGACTGTGGTTAATAGAACATTATGAATTGCAACAACATACACAATTAGCTAACAGAGACTTTGGCCGCCATCATAGATAAACTAATATATTAGGTAGTCTTTTTCATATAGATAATGAACTTTACACTGAACACTCCCTGGTTGGAAATGAGAGCTGTTCAGTTGCCCACTGAATTCATTGAAGAAATCTAGGATTTTAGCAGAGCAGGTGGTGGGCATCCATGACTCCTCACCATCTCTACATTCACACACAACAACAGCAACAACAGAAGCTAGCCATGAAGATGTCAGTTGTCTTTAACGTAAGTTGTCAGTTGTCTTTTTTTTTTGTGTCGATTAATTTTTTTAAAAAATGTTTTAAAAATTGCCCTGCTGATTCCAGTTACTGCTCATTGCTGCAATTGTGACATAATGGGTTGCAACAGCTCCATTAGAGGTGGGACATAGAATGGATCCCAAAGCATACACCCAACAATTACATGAAAATTAGTCCAGAGGAATTTTCCATACTTTGTCCCCTACTTCTCACCATTCACCATTCTTAAGACCCTGCCTCCCTTAGTTCTCTTGCCTCCTTCCTCTTAACTACTGCCATTTATATTCTTCTCCTCCTGCTGGTTTTCTACCTGGTTTTATCTTTGATTTCCTTTCCTGCTTTGTAGAATACAGCACTTTCTATGCAATAATATAGAATCATAGAATCACAGAATGCTAGAGTTGGAAGGGGCCAAGTGACCCTTAAGTCAAATCTGTATGTAAGTCGAATCACATATATAAAAAATATAAACATGTAAGAAACACTTTCATATACATAAAAACATTTAAACACAATACAGGATTTTAATAATGATAATAACACTATAATAATACAGTAACTGCAGGTATTGAAGAGAGAGCGAGAGAGAGAAACTGTATGTATGTGTGTAGGCATACAGCACAGTTCCTTAACCAGGTTAGACAGAAAAATAGAAAATAGTAAAGAAGATTATTAAAAGTTAACACTTCTTGAGTTAACATTAATCCTAACATTAACTGGATAAAGATGGGGATGGGACTGGTGTTGGCCAGCGTCACTTTTTCCCTCCTCCTTTATATTCTTCCCTTCCTCTCTCCTTCCTTCCTTCCTTCCTCTGCCCACCACCTGGCACATGTTCTGACTTCACAACTCACTAGCACTGTTTTTTCCCTCTTCCTTCCTCCCCTTCCTTCCTGCTACTCCTCATAGCCCCGTGTGAGTTCTGACTTCACAGCTCATCAGGCACTGAGTGGTGGTTGGCAAGTGGGCACCTGTTGGTGCTCCTTGCCATTTGAGGATGAGACAGGACTTCCAGGTATGCTTGTTTGTAAGTAGAGGTTGTTTGTAACATGGACATTTGTAACCCAGGGACTACCTGTGCTCCACATCTCCTCCAAGGTGCTTCTGGCAATATTAGTACAATTGCTCCTATTTGCCCCTCACAACAAGCCTGCAAAGGTGGTTAGTTGAGCAACAGTGACTGAACCAAGACACTAAATGAACTCTATTGGCTAAGTAGGAACTGTGAGACGTGGGTGACTGACGAGTGCAGGCAGAGTGCTGGGAGCAGGGTGCTGGTGCAAGGCTGCTCTCTGAAGGGCTAGAGGCTGGCAGTGTGGTCAACAGGCTGGGATCAGAAAGAAGGCAGCAGCTGGTGTGACACAGTACGAGAGAGAGAGCACAGTCCTGGAATAGCGCAGGGATCAAATGCTGAGGAAGCAGTCATGTGAACGTGGTCAAAGTTGAGGAGGGAGAGCACAGGGACCAATAGGAATGGTCTGAACCACCCTGAGACAGAGGCAGGGATGAACCAGAACAAGGCAGGGAGCAACTGGAGGGAGCAAGCAGGGGCACACAGGATCGAACAGGAGTAAGGTTTAAGGCCCTGTGATGCAGAGGGCCAGAGCACCAGAGCATCACAAAGGTACGTCCTTGTTGCTTGACCAGGGTCCCAGCTGCACCGCATGATTGCCTCTCAGCTGTTCCCTGTGAGAGCCTGCATAGGTCTTCCTGGTCCTGCAGACAGTTGCAGAGCTAGCCAGCTCTAGCCAGGAACATGGACTTGGTTCTTCTCAGTCCAGGTGCAATACTCCACCCAGTGCACCAGTGTGTTAAATTGTGATGAAGGGGCTGTTTTACTTCCATGTACTATTGTCAAACAATGGAAATGAAGGAGGGTTTAGTTATGTGTTTGATTTTTGCTACTGTTAGTTGGACCTGGAGATTCATGCTGTACATGGTGTTTCAGATAAATATTGCAATTGAATATGAGGTGTGTTCACTATATATTCCTGGTAAACAGATCACTGTCTAACTATTATTCTACCAGTGTGACTTCATTTCATATTGTTCTCGCTGTTTCTGTTCTCGCTATTGCTGTTTTGCTTCTACTCAGGCACTTCTGTTATCCAAGTGACAGCTACAGATGCTGATGATGCTAACTATGGCAACAGTGCCAAAATTGTATATAGCATCCTCCAGGGCCAGCCGTACTTCTCAGTGGATCCAGAAACAGGTTAGAATGTCTACAGTCTTTGCTTTGTTCTAATTATTTCTAGGAACTGATGGCTTTAAAAAATCCCAAATATTTACTCTCTATTTTCTCTTGATTTACTTGGATGGTCACTGGCTCAAATATGGCTGTACAGGTACAGTTGGAAGGCTTGTTGATGGTTTCATGATTTGCGGGGTTGGAGAGATCCCTTGGGCAAGCCAGCCAGCCTCTTTTTTTCACTTGGCAGAGTGATCGGACATTCTTTTGTTCCATGCTGTCTTCTTGTCCCTCACCCCTGCCTCCCAGGGCTTCTCAGAGAGGGTTGAGCATAGTTTGCTGGTTTTACAACAAATGGCCAAACTCAGCATCCAACCAATTACACGATTTGTAAACCCAGTCATCTAGTTCCATTTACCGGAGTATGGCAAATACCAAGCCACAGCTGCTAGATGGGCTATTTTGTACAGGTTGAAGGGTCTTTTGCAATAGTTATGCAAAGTAATGGGGAAGTGTACTTCTGAACCTGATTAATGAAAATCTGATAAAATTCTGCAATTGTATAAGCAAAATACAAACCTTGCCTAGGTGTCTGAATTCATGGCTCAGTCAGCATACAATTAATGAAAAAGGCAGTGAGCATGCTGACATGACAGAACTTAGCTGCTATTTCCTTCCCACCTCAGGCCCTCCAGACTCCACTCTAGGTGGTACAAGAACTGTCAAGTATGAGCAGCTGTCCAGTTGAGAGGGACCTGTCCACTTTGGATTGGTAAATAAAAGCAAAAGAAAAGCAAAGTATCCCATGGCACCTTAAGAGCCAAAAAAATCACTCTGGAATAAGCTTTTGTGGATGCTGTCAACTTCACTGGATCCATGAAGTGTTGCCCTCATGCTTTGGTGGACAGTATCCACAGCAGACAGCTTATGCCAGAGTAAGGAAGTACGAGATTTCCATTTCAGTTTGCCAGTCACTTGAAAATGCAATAGTGAATGTTTGCACTACTGAAAGTGAGCAGAAATGGGAGTATGCTTTCTGTATAAAGGTTTGCAAAGTCCTGTATTTGAAGTCATGCTCATAAAATGGACAACTTTCTCAAATGCTCAAATGTTCCTATTAAACACATCCAGAAAACATATTGCAAACAAGAAAGGGAACATGGAGAGAGGTAGCAAGTGGTGTGTCATGGGGCTCAGTCCTGGACCAGTGCTCTTCCATGCCTTTATTAATGATCAAGATGAGGAAGTCCAGGGAATGATAATTAACTTTGCAGATGGTACAAAACTGACTGGAATAGCTGACATCCTGGAAGACAAAAAGAAGTTCCAGGGTGACCTAGACAAGGTAGCATGCTGAGCAGAAAGCAACAGAATGAAATTCAACAGAGACAAATGCCAAGTTCTCCACTTAGGGGGAAAATCAACAGCAACATATGTATCAATACAAATACTTGGCTCAACAACACTGAGAAAGAAAAAGACCTTGGAATTGGTGTGGACAACAAGTTAAAAAAGTAAGCCAGGAATATAATGCAGATGCAAAAAAGGAAAACATTATTTTGGGATACATAAATAGAAGAATCACAAAGATAATCCAGGGTCTTGAAACTAAGCCTTACTGTGAGAGGCTGAGAGAGCTGGGCATATCCAGCCTGGAGAAAAGAAGACCATGAGAGTACATGACAGCACTCTAAGAGTACCTCAAATGCTGTCACAAAGAGGGACAACTCATTCATTCCAGAGTGTAGGACACAGAACTGTGAACTTGAACTACAGCACACCAGATGCAGGCTAGACACAAGGATAAACTACATCACTGTCAGAGCAATATGACAGTGGAACCAATTGCCAAGAAAGGCTGTGTTCTCTCTCATACTAAAGACATTCAGGATGAAACTGGACAGTCATCTGAGTGGGATGCTGTGACTTGGCATCCTGCACCAGCAGGGGTTGGATCCAATGGCCCTCTTGGCCCCTTCAGACCCTACTATTTTATGAATCTATGAATTTCAGCAAGCTCAAACTTCCTTTTGTTTTCATTCTCTAGGAATGAATTTGTTAACCTAAAAGATCCCACAAGATCCTTTGTTGGTTTGCTGCCACAGAGTAAGATGGCTACCCTTAATCAATTGTAGCACTCAGTAATATGGCAACAGTATACTTCCAAGTATCTCGAATGGACAGACTGTAGCACCTCAGACTGTATGTGGTAAATGCCACTTCTAATTCCTCCCTCCACTCCTGCTGCCAATTAAAAAATAATCCCTTAGTAACTCAAACATTAGAGGATCTTTCTAGAATGGTGCAGTCTACCCATTCTCTTGCATTTGTAGAACTAGTCTATACCATGATTTTGCAGAATGTTTGTTCACTACATCCTTTAATACTAACTTTAAAATACTGCTAGGAAAAGTTTCTAAAAAGCTTTCTTTATGACAGATATAGCCTGTTTTTGTTTGTTTGTTTGTTTGCACTGGAAAATTGCACTGAACTAATTGTAGAGCACTAAGTAACCAGAGCTTCTTGTTTCCCTCTTTTCTTGCTGTGGCATTAAACTGGTTATGGCCCAAATGCCCTATTTCAGTGGATACACCTTCAATTGTGTTTATTTGCTGTGGATTAACTGGTATAACATATCTGACACAAATCCATTTTAATACTCTATTTCATCCTCCCCCATCCCCATCAACTCATATCTTTTTTCTCTCTCTCCTTTTTTCTACAAGGCATTATCAAGACTGCTTTGCCAGATATGAGCAGAGAAAACAGAGAGCAGTACCAAGTGGTTATCCAGGCAAAAGACATGGGGGGCCAGATGGGCGGATTATCAGGAACCACCACGGTGAACATCACGCTTACCGACGTCAATGACAATCCACCTCGATTCCCCCAGAGTATGAAGCACTAATAGTTCAGATGTGTTCCAAAAGCCTCTTTATGCATAGTACTTCAACATCTGGGATGCAAATACAGAAGGACTTCTGGGTCTGTTGATCTCATAGCTATAAAGAGGTCATAGAGAAACATACATATGTTTTCTGGCTTTAAGTTAAAAACTTTACTGCGTTAACTCTATTAACAGCTTACTAATCTGAAATGTTAAAATGTGAAAGCCTTCTTCTAAGACATTCAAGTTACGCTAGTAGGCACCACAGAACAGACATGGAAATGGGCTCCAAGTTATGTTTGGTCATGCTTGCTTTCTTATAATCTTTCTTCCTATTTCATTGTTCCCATACACCCCGTAAACCAGAAAGTTCTATAAGCTGCCCTGGGGTGGGGGATTGATGCTTAGAAGCAATGCTGCTCAACACCTAGGTCATCTCTACATTCCAGAGATTAGCCAGACTGTCAGCAGAACTGCCAGTCACACCAGTAAGAAAAGCCATCCTGAATGATCAGAAAATCAACTGGATCCATGAGTCTCAAGAAATGGACCATTATAAAAGTCCCTTCACTTCTGCAGAGTTGAATAGCTGCTATGTTAAAACCTAAACAGGCAAACATCTGTCCATGACAAAGGAAGTAATTCAATCTTCCCCACTATAAAACAATTCTCTGCCTGCCCAGAACAAAGATGAGGTCATGAGCGTTCCCTGCAAAATGCATGGAACCAGCCACCCTTTGGAACATACCTGTGAATTTTATTTCTTTTTCCCAACAAGACAGTCTTGCAAAGATGTGGAAACCTAAGACAATAAACCTCAGAGATTCCTGTAACATACTACAGACCCCCTTCCTCAACTCAGATAAAGAAACTGCTGTTAGGCACAGTTCCTTGGAACTCACAGCACCAAAGGAAGGCACTCAAACTGAGTAGATTTGTCAGGAGAGGGTAATGAAACCCACATCCTTTTCCATAAGGTTTGTACTACCTCGCCATTGAGTAGCCTGATGGACCGAAGTATAAAAGTTAAATTTCACCATCATCTGTCCAGGTCACAGTGATGTGAACCAAAGCATCATCAGATCCTGGGAAACAGATGATTTTGCCCCTCTTTCCCCATTACATTATCTCACTAATCACAACTACCACTAAGATACTAGTGGGGATCAGAACCTAGGGACCCTGGCTGGTTGGGATAAAGGAATCTGGGATGCAAATACAGAAGTGTTTCAGGGTCTGTTGATGTTGTAGCTAAACACGGTTGTAGAGGAGCGTACATGTTTTCCAGCTGTCAGATGTCTTCTTCCCTTACCCCAGTTTGTCAAGCACCCACTGCCATTGCTCCCCTCCAAATGCTCCCAATTGTGTGCTCTCCTAATACTTTAGTGCCCTGGCATATGTCATATTCACACAGAACAGAACATCCAAACCATCAAACACTCCCCAAAAGTTTGCTGTGTCCAGAATTGCAATGTTGCACAAAAAGCCTCAAAATAAAATGCAGCTCAAAATAAAATAAAAGCGGACAAGCCTTTCATTCCCAACACACTCACACACACATTTTCATGCACACACAAAGATAGATTATCTCCCCCTCCCCTCCCCAACTGGTTTTCATTAGGCTTCCAGGCTGTCCTGGCCAAGACAATCTCTCCTTGCTACTATGAACAACATGGAAACAATGATGTTCATCAGGATCTCTGTGAGGATGGAGAGACTCTACCTTGCTCATCCTGGAGAAATGGTGATCATGAACAAGGCCACTGGGAGGTGGGATCAGCTCTCATGGGAGCCTCTCCCCACTACTCAGCAATCCTGATCCAGGCTGCCCTTTCCTTGCTGGTTCCAGTTTCCATCTCTGCTGGTGAAGAAAACAGCTAGGAGTAATTTGAGCAGAAAAACATTACTAGTTCTGTTGGCTATATACCACCTTCAGTATGAGGGTCTTGCGGGAATATGCCTGGTGTCCTCCTATGCATACCAGTTGCTGGGGAATATAACAGGGAGACAATTTTGCACTCATGCCCTGTTGGCAGTTCCACACATGCAGCTGGTTGGACAATCCATGAATAGAAAAGGGTATCTTTCCAAAATATTCTTCAAATACATGCTAGGAAACAAAGCTAAATTGAAGCTGTATAAGCTAGTTGCTGCATGGTAATCTCTGCCTTTTTTATGATAAATTTATTTTTTGTCATAGTTGCATAATATATGTGTATGCTGACTTCTCCTACCCATGGTGTAGGTGAGAGGTCTACTTAAAATGCATGGCTGTGATAGGATAATCAATCACACAGAAATTGTGGAACCTAAAGTAGGATGGGAAAGTATATATTCCAATGTACTGTTTCTCTCAGTGACAATCTCTTAACGAGGGTGAACATTACATAGTGGAAGGTACCCATAAAGAATCCGTGATATGAAGACTAGTTCTCAGCTCTTAATCTTCCTTGTGGCTCTTGTGTGAGTACAAAAAATTAAGGGCCTGTGCAGATTGGTGACAATTCTTTTAAACTCTTAGCTGATTTTGGTTGAAGGCTAAATAATTTAAAAGTGTGTCCATAATTCACCAAGCTGTCAAGCAACCAAGAGCTCAAATCACAGTTTAATGCTAATGAATATATGATGGCTAAGTTTTCATATAACTGTTGGGGACAAGTCATTCACCTGCAAAAGCTTGCACTGTTATGCATTTATTTGTGCCACATAGAAATTATATACACATTCTATTTTTAAACCCTGAAACCAACTTTCTCTATGGTAAAGGAAGGAACAGACATATATGCCTTTAGCACTCTCATGTTTTTTTTTATTATTTTTTAAGAACATGAGAGCTCACCTAGATCAGATTAAGGTTCCATCTTGTCCTGTATTCTGTTCATGAAATGGCCACCAGCTGCATGTGTAAAACTCCCCAGCAGGCCATGAGTGCAAGAACACCCTCCTAGAGCACTTCCCATCAGCTGGTGTACAGAGGTGCATCCCTTGCATATGACCCCAGTCCCTGACACTGCATATGACCATCAGGAATAGCAGCCATTGATACATTTTTCTGCCCCAAATTACTCCCAGGTGCTTTCTCCATCAACAGATCCAGACATACTTTGAGCCTCAGCACATACAGAGATAGAGCAGAAACTGTGCTTGCGAGGGCAGGCATAATATGTGGGACAGTTTCAAGAAGAAACACTGTAGATGGGGAAAGGGTTAAACACCTTTGCTCTAAATCACCTTCTCTCAGTGCCTTCTCTCACTTTCCATAACCAAAGTGGCCTTCTCTGAAGTGAGGTTTTTAAAAACACACATTTTTGAGCATTGTGTCTAGTTTGCCCCTTAGTCTATATCATACTAGAAGTTTCCTTGAAGCAGAATATAAATGAGCTTATTAATTCTGTTTTAGACTAATAGTCAGTTTAGCACTGTTGTTCCCCTAGCTTTCACGTTGTTGCACTAATGTGTGTGCTAGGACTTGGCTGTTTATGCTAAACAACTGATATGGCTACTCACCCCAATCTGCAAATTAAAATATGTCCTTGCTGATTACAATTTGCTCTTACCTATTAATCAACTGAAATTGCTGTCTTAATTGATTGTGTGTGTGTGTTTGAGAGAGAGAGAGAGAGAGAGAGAGAGAGAGAGAGAGAGAGAGAGAGAGAGAGAGAGAGAGAGAGAGAGAGAGAGATGCTGCTGCTGCTGCTGCTGCTGCTGCTGCTGCTGCTGCTGCTGCTGCTGCAGGGGTGCTTTTAACAAGTGCATCTACATTGGACAGCACTTTTTCTTCCCCAGTTGAAATCTTGACTGGCTGCTGACTGATAACTCAGAGATTCTAGAGGCTGCCTGCTCCAATTTGGACTCAAAGCCAATTCTGCAGGAAGTTCGTATTCCCAGACTATTTCCTGATGTGTTGTTTCTTTGCAAAACTGGGCAGGCAAACTGAACTTCTTCCCAATTTAAGCTCCCCTCAAGGTGAAGGATAAGGGTTACTTTTAGATACAGGAGTTTGGGTACTAGGAGTCAGCTGGAAATTGTTAAACAGGAATAACAATCAGGAGTTAGTGACAGACGAGATTTGAGAGGAAGAGCTTCACCCCAGGAGGCATAACTTCCACACCTCCAGAAAGGGCAGCTTCTAGATATGTTTGCTCCAGCCCCAAAACCTCATCACCATATCATAACACCCTAACTTCCATTAAATGTGTTTCTTCACATCTTAACACAGGAAGCAAGGCCTGCTTTGCTTCAGCTGCCCATTCCTATGCCTTCCACCATATTTTGTCCATTTACCTACCTGCCAATCTGAAGGAGGAAGTGAGGACAAATCAGGATTTTGATAGTCCTTAAATGAAGTGTGCCATCTGCTCATATGCCATTTTCATCAAATTGCCATCCACTTACATTCCAAGTTAAATTTCTAGAACAAAATTTTTGACAGCATTCATTTTAAGGATATTGGGACAAACTCTGATCCATAACAGGCAGAAAGGTGACCAATGCAACTCTTATTAACTCAGGTCAATGACAAAAGCACCTTTCCCTGTCTTCCAGGTATACAGGGACTTTACTAGTGCCACATGTGTAAAATTCCCAGGGTGGTGATCACATTATGCCAACCTGTGCTGCATTGATGAGGGAAGGAGCACCCAAGCAATATAGCTATATAACTCTATTTCATACTCTCTGTCCTATATATTGAGAGAGAGACACAGAGAAAAAAATCTATAAAAATGAAATTGAAGTCTAGTTTCATACGGAACTTATATTGAAGTCAATAAGATGATGCAGGAAAATGGACTTGCAGCCTTAAAACTGTGAAACTGGAGAGATAGTGGGCAATGCAGCTTGTGTACATCTTACAAATGGTCACTGGAATGTGTCTCTCAGCCATCCTGGTATGCGAAAAGCAGGTACTGTGTACCTTCTGCACTGAATCAAATACAGGCGCAGCTCCACAGCTCCCCCTAAAGGGCCCTTTTCCCACACACCGTATCACAGTCCGCTGCTTTTACAGAACCAGCATACTACGATCTACATCAAATAGCTCATTATTTTATTTTATTTTTAAGAAAAAGAACAGACCAACAAACCTCTAAATTAAATCAGAACATGTCCCTTCTTATATTGACATTTGATCAGATTTCTTTTGTGTTGCCCTATATTTTTTAGCATCGATTTAAAGCCATTTCAGCTTTGTTTCTTGCCAATTGAAATTCTAGCTCTCACATTGACTTGTGATTACATGGTATTGCTTTTGTTTATTGACTATGTGAGTGCAAGTTTAATTAGGTTTTTGGTGCAATATATATATATATATATATATATATATATGGAATTTCCCCTTGTACTTCCAACCAGTACTCATGAAATTCTTTTGCTGTCCTTGGAATGCTACTAAAGGTACAATCCTGTTCAGGTTTACCTCAGGGAGTAAGTCCAATTGAACCTAGTAGGGCTTACAACAGAGTAGAGTTGTATAGGATTGCACAGTAGGAGTTGCACTTTAAACATAATGTGGTGGCAGGCTGAGTTTTAAAATCTCTACTAGAGAATACAAGACTGAATTTGGGTTTGCATCAGAGCTTGTCTGTTTTGTCTCTGTTAGCAAAAAATAAATTTGTTAGAACAGAGATGAGGAATTGGAACTTTACCTCATCAATGGAAGGACGCTTCCATATGTACTATTTCAGCAAATTGATATTTTGCATGCAGTGAGGGTCACAAAGACTCATTAAGAACTAGCTGGCCAGTCAATTGCAAGTCAATGCCTTCTGTAGACGTATGAAGCAGGCATGTCCTGTAGCAGCTGCTTTTTGGCTGGACTTTATTGGTTGCATAAATTTACTTCTTGAAAAATCTGAGATAACAGCAGACAGACATCCTTGTGATGTGGGGATAACAAATGGAGACAAAAAGAGGATAGTGGGGCCCGTAAAGCTGCAACGAGACTTATACTTCCAGCGATGGATCACTTACATTAGAACACACATTTGATATGGAAGGGTGAAATCAATCTCCCCATCCCACTTCGGCATAGGAATGTGTGAGGAGTCTGCATTGTGAGGAGAAAGTAAGTTGCAGCACCACAGAATGTCAAAAGGTTGCTACATAGTGTATGGGGTGCATTTCCCTCTCTTCATTAAAGGGGGGGGGGGGCTTTGGGGCTTGACTGGCAGACTGTGGCCTGTCAGAGGAGCATGCAGGGAGCAAAAATTTAGGACTTCCCTAAATTGCCCGCCCAGCAATTTGAAAAAGTGTGTTTTAAAAATGTCCTTTGTGAATGAGAAAAAGACCACTTCAGTCAATGAGGGGAGGTAATGCACTGGGGGAGAGATCTCAAAAGGAAGCACAACCAAATGTGCATTTTCTCATTAAAGCAACATCAACAACAAATACATTCAGAAATTGGGAAAAGGCCGATGTAACATTGAAGGAGCACCTGGAGCACTTCAATACCTAAATACCTAGATGCCCCATACCATTTCTGGTAGATAGCTCCTCTTCCTGAAAATGGAAACCTAGCATATTATTTAATACTCTGGAAAGGAAAGGAAAAAAGGAAAGGGAAGGAAAGGAAAGGGAAAATCCCTGCATGAAGTATCCTAGAACATCAATCAGGTGTACTAGTTGAATGCATGGGAGGAACTTCTGTTTCTTTACACAGGGAAGCACTGAGAAGAGGACCTTGTACAATTCAGTATTCATAAGTCCATAACATGAACACTTCATTCTATCACAGCACCATGTGTAGACTTCATCACTGGCTTCCAAAAGAAGAGAAAAAATAATTTAAAAAATTGAACAACAGAATCGATCTGAGATCACATGAGTGCCAGTTCCTGTTGTGCCAACTTGCCTACCTTTCAGAAAATACCTGCTTCTTTGGGTGCTCCTCTGTGAACTTACATCGTTTTTCTTGCTTTTTGAGCCAGATTAAAAGAACTGATTATTGGTGACCTTGAAATGTCTCCCTTCATATCCCTCAGAACTGTGGCCCTAGGACAGCCCCCAGGGAAGGCTTCAGTGTCAAGTGCCATAGACAAGTCTCCGTGGAATGGGTGCTTCACCTGCACAGATGAGAACCAACAAATTTGTGCCACTCTGCCATTGACAGCCATCCGGCACAAAGGTCATAGGGTAGCTGGGACTATCTGCATAGCATAAGATGCTGCACTCTGTATAAGCCCAAATGATTTATTTATTCATTAATTTTTCATTAATTTTTGCCTCATGTTTCAATCAAGAAGGATCCCCATAAAGCGCTCTGACTGCTTTTTAACCACCCAATTAAAATATTTAATTTAAACCATCTAATTACCATGTGCAGTAAAAATTGCCAACCACAAAAATAGTAAAAAGGAACACACAGGCAACCATCATTAGCAAGCAGGTTATTCCTTCAAAACTTTTAAGAAATTCACCTGCACAGAGAAGTAAAATGGCAGACTTCTTTAGGCAGGGAAAGGGCAGCGACGGGAGAGGTTCTACTTCTCACAGCTTGTGGGAATTCTGAGCCCTATCTAATGGCCTAAGCTGGGGTGGGTAACTTGTAGCCATCCAGATATTTTGGCCCATAGCTCCCATCAGCCAGAGCTAATTGTGAGGATAATGGGAGTTCCTGGACAAATGTTTAGAGGACCGCAAAATACTAACTTTGTGAAGCACCCAGAGATTTTGTCAGCTTCCCCAATGGCTCTGGCCATTGGGCACTGTAGAAATGCAATCAGTGTCATAAAATAAAGCCATTTAAGTACAGGGTTCTTCATTCAGGAACAAATATTCTCTTTAGCAATTTTCTGTACAATCCTAGGTATATGTCCTATGATATGCATTAACTTTTGCAGTATTCAGTGGAGCTTAGGAAGGTGCTCCTTGTATGTATGCTTAAAGCTGCAGCCTTAAAAATTATTTGTGCATTATGTATCTTTCCCTCTGAATGTGTGGGATGTTTCCTCTTCTACTGAACTAAAGGAAAAGGAATGTGCCAAGTACAGGAATACTGAATTGCATTTCAGGGACTTCACAAACATTGCTTCTGTGAGACAACTATTTTCAGGACTCTTCACTTTCTCTGCAGCCCAGAGGGCTATGGACTTGGGAAAAAATGGTACGTGCAAGTTTCTCATTAGAGCTCACAGAGTGAATACAGATGGCCCATTGCTTCCTTAGGAGGCCTGCTCTGGCCTTGAACTATGTCATATCCACACACTAACCCAGTGCCAGAAATGATAATAGATCAGCTGAATGTTACTTAACTTTCTCCCCAAGCAGAGACGGGATATGCCTTTCTGAGAAATCCATCTGATTGTGCTGAAATTCTTTTAAACTTCCTTTGATAACACCATCAGATGTGATACCTTAAGAGAACCCTCCAAAATCACCTCAAAATTTGCTTCAAGCAAAACTCAGTGGTACATGTGCCTCCAAGATTCATCAGTTTCCATGGTTGTGCAAACTAATGAAAAACAAATTTTGTTGTTAGCTTACGTTGTCAAAATCTGCAATAACACAATAATGCCACCAGGCAATTAGAGACAGTCCTACTGCAGAATTACAGTTGTTTACATTTGAAGTGCTACACCAGAACTGCAGTTCTAAGAGGCTTTTGAAACATCAAAATATTATATATATTTTCAAGCTCTTTTTGACAAGTGCTCTCTATCTCTGTTTTCAAATGCACTGGTGATTCAGGGTGCTTTTCTTTAAATGGTTCGGCTCACAAAGCAACTGAAGATCCACTTCCGTTGCCTCCTAGATTTTTAAAATTATTTATACAGATGAGACCCTGATGTGCACACATGACCACTCAACCTTCTGTGGTGTTGCTTCGTTTCCAGGCACATACCAGTTCAGCTCTCTGGAATCTGCGCCACTTGGAACTTCACTTGGCAGAATAAAAGCCAATGACCCTGACGTGGGTGAAAATGCGGAGATTGAGTACAACATTGCTGCTGGCGATGGATCAGATGCGTTTGATATTATCACTGACAAGGACACACAGGAAGGAATTATAACTGTCAAAAAGGTTTATTTCCCCCACTTTCTCTTTTACTGAACCTAGCACTCCAAGTCTGAGGTTTCTTTTGTTCAGGCAGGAGGGAGGAGAAGGTTTTGTGTGGGTCAGAGAAACTAACCTTTCAGGCTGCATTTCCCTTTCTTCATTGGGTATCTGGTAAACTCCAAACCTAGCAGGAGTATTTTTACAAAGGGTATTTTTGGAGCATGTCCGTTCTCCTGAAGGGATCTTTTCAGCAGCTCTGGCCTGTCCGATATGCTTAAACGTGTTGGAATGATCACTTTTAAAGATGGGTATTAAAACCCTGCCAAGGATTTAAGGGAGATCTGATCACGTCACAAAGTAGCCTTGCAGCTGAATTCTAGCATTTGGTTGGCAAAGAATGGAAACAGGCACACTGTTCCATGTTGTGCTAATGGTACGGATGTGAGAAACTCCGGCCTCTAATGAGCTGTTTCTATATGCAACCTGGGTCCACTAATGGAATTTCCCCACCTACTAGATCTCTGTGGTGGAGGGAAGTAACTGTTAACATGCTTACAACATTTCCAGTTGGGCTTTGAGCTATTATTTCAGTGAGTTAAGTAAAGGGTGGCATGCAAAAAACCATATCAGCAATATTTAGGATCTAAAGCTGTTTTTCTGCTTATTATGATGAAGGAATCTAAATAACCAGGTTTTTTTAATGTCACCCTTTGTAAGACAATTATTCAGTTTGCTCTTTACTCTAACCATATACTTTGCAATTTCAAAAACAAAGTTATCCTTCAGTATTTAGTTTTTTCAGATTTTCACTGATACTGTTCTTCAATTTAAAAGAAGTGTACAAAAGCATATACAGTAGGTACAATTAACACAAAATGTGTATATTAGTGAAAACAATATGTTAAAGCACATTCATCTTAGGGAAAATTGCTTACCAAGGAGTAAATCATAGGAAAAATAATCCATACAAATATATATGTGTTAGAATAAACTTGCATGAGAATGCATACAAATGTTCATATGGACTTAGATTCTTCCAATAAATTGGAAAAGGCTACAGAATGGAACAGACTTAATGCAGAGAAAATGAGAAACCAAAATTTTCAGATGTATCCATCTATAGATAAGCGGTGACACTTTCAGGGTAGAGACCCAGCACAGTGTGGTGGTTAGAGTGATCTGGATTCTAGACCCAACTCAGCCATGGAGCTTACTGGGTGACTTTGGGCCAATCCTTCTCTCTCAGCCTAACCTACCTCACAGGTTTGCTGTTGTAAGGATGAAATGGAGAGGAGGAGAACTTTGGATGCATTCCAGGAGCAACAAAGGTGGGTTATAAATGCAGAAGAAGAGAGGGAAGAGGAGGATCAGGAGGTGGGGTGGGTGTTGGGTGTTCAATTTTAATAGTGTGCTCGATTGTGGCTGTCCAGAACTCTCCAAACTCAGACAGAGGGAGCACAGAGGCAAAGGCAACCTCCACATGTGCTTGCCCTGAAAAGCATTGATGCAGCAGATTCCAGCCATCTACTTGCAAAGAGGACAGACTGAGGTGCTGCCATGGCACATTATATGCTGACAAAGCCTCATTCTCCCTTCCCTTCCCACTTGATTCTTTCTCTCCATATGTCCCCAAAACATTGGATCCAGCATCCATCTTCTCATCTCAGAACCACAGCTAATGCAGTTCCTTCTGGGCAAGCGATGAGGTAGGACTCCAAATCTAGCTCTATCCTCAGAGCATGTTTCCATGGTGAGAGCTGAGGCCTGGCATTTTCTCTTGACTAGCCAAGCAGCATCTACTGGCCATAGGTTTGCCCCCTGAGTCTCCTGATTACCTGATGCAACTGAGTTGTCTTGAATTTTTAATTCCACTATCCCGATTGTCTTCTAAAAAAAACCCCAAGCCCAGTTCGCAGGATGACAGTCAAACGGGGACATTTGGAGGGAGGAAAACTTTAACAGGCCTGAAAAGGGGTAAGCATTCCTCCATTTTACTTGCTGATCTTCTATGCCAACCAATAGCTTGGCAAATAAGTGGGATATGCATTTGCTAAGATAACTGCCCTTTCTTTGTGACACTGAGCTATCATTTCATGCTACACGAGTCAACCTTGGGCATGAACACACACTCTGTCCTTTCTACCTCTAGTAGAGTGAAGGTCTGATTTTCATACTTCCATCTGCTCACATTTTCTGCTCACAAGATCACATTTTCATACTTCCATCTGCTTCCATTCTCAACTGGCAACACAGCTTGCTAATTCAGGCAAACTGAGGCATCTATTTAGGTTAAAGTAGGGTTTATTCCAACAAGGCAAGGTCAGAAACAATGGTTTCATTTTAGTCTGTTTGAAGAGACCAGAGTTTAACCTAACTAGAATCTTCCCACTTTGGATGAAATGACAAGTTTAACTAGCTGAAAGTTAGTTGAGAGTGAAAGCAGATGTTTATGACTGCATCCTCCAGGATCACAGAAAAGAGAGGACAGAGGGAGCGCAATATCCCAAGGGATTCTCTACATGAAGCATTTATAGCATGTTCATGATTCCTCGCTCATGGGATTTGTTTGAATTTTTCACAATGCCGTTGTTCTCCAAGGCCCCTCCAGGGGTTTTGAGTTTTCCAAGCCTTTTTTAATGTGGAAGGTCTAGTATTAAATTTTAAATCATGACAAACCACAACAAGAGCCTTGTGGAAAGATGAAAATCTGCTGTACTGCCACTATAACACATTGCCACCTTGGGCTTGGCTAGTAGAATAGCTAAAAAGGCTGAAAAATGCAAACCCCTGGAAAAAGATCTATGTAAAGAATGCATGTTTTCCTCTGCAGCAAAAACAGAACCCTCCACATAGCTAACTAGTTAATATCTAGTTCTACCCTCAGGTCAGATGTGAGAATTACAGTGGTACCTCAGCTCATGAATGCCTCAGTTCATGACCAAATCAGGTCGCGAGCAGAAATTTCAGAAAATTTTTGCCTCAAGTCGCGAACTCCGCATTGGGTGACGATCATGATCGCATCCATCTTCCCTGCACAGGTGTGACCACGGTTGTGCTCAGGGAGGGTGGGGGGGAAATGGCCATGATGTGGTTGCGCTCAGGCAAGGAAGACAGCCATGATTGTGGTCGTGCTCAGCAGGGGGAGATGGCTGTGATTGTGCTGTGGGGTGGGGAGATGGCCACAATCTCTGTTGTTATTTGTTACTTGGTTGTTCTTTGTCATGCTGTTTCAAAATTTTGTGATTAAAAAAATGGTTACAGAACAGATTAACCTTATTTACACTGAACCTGATGGGGAAATTTGACTTGGGTCACAACCATTTTGGGTCATGACCAGAGTCATGGAACGGATTAAGTTTATGAGCCAAGGTACCACAGTACTTTCAATTTTTGATCAAAGATCAGGTAAACTCATTTCTTTCCATTCCTCCAGATCCACAGACTTTCCAAAAATGCAGGAGCTGAGCACACAGACTATGCACATTTTCCCCACTTATGACAACTGTGGTGAAAACAACATTTTGTGAACATAGAGTAGCTGCTCCCATTAAAGGGAAGCTTTATATGGGAACCATCAGTTGATAAATCTACATGTGTTTATAAATAAATTCCCTTTTATCTAAGATAGTTGTTTCTATCTTTCTGTCTTCTTTCACTACATGTTTTGATTTTTGAATTGCCAGAAATCTCTGGGCAGTTCACAAAAGTTAAAACCCCCAAATACAATGGGGTAAAATATAAAACCTTTAAAAGTTTATAATATTTATTTTTTAAAAAAACTCTATAAGTTGTGCCTGAGATTCTTAGTGTCCTCTGCAAAAAAGTAATGAAGGTGATCTATTCCACACTTTCCTTCCCTCTCTGCCCTTGGAAAACCCTTCTTTACCACTTTGAAGTTAAGTTCTTAACCGAGGAGAAGCAGCTAACTGGGCATGCCAATTCTATGGTGGATGCCCAACTCTATGGTTCTCCTGTCTCTGGGCAGGGGAACAGGACAGCCCTCTTATGGCCAAAAATGCCTGGGGAAATTAGAATGAATATACATTTTTATATTTCATATATTATTCAGATTAGGATATGTGCATGTGTTCTTGTTAATTTTAGTTGGCAAAAATATAGAGATGGATGGATGGATGGATGGATGGATGGATAGAGACACAGATATATACATAGATGAATAGATGATACATAGATTTACATTGTATAGCTCTTTCAAATTGCTGACTTAAGATTTATTTAGATTGATTATCCTTTAGGTGGGATCATTTATCCCAAATGATACAATTTCTCACCAACCTATGTTTAGCATTCATTGTTGAAGGACTGTTCCATTTAGAATGGGTGTAATTCTTATTCACTCAAATCAACAGTAATTTAGGCATTGATTTTAGTGCACTGAAGATTGTACCTAATGGTGCATGCAAAATATTGCATGTTCCCAGTGAGATAAAACAGTGATTTGTATTGACTGATGGGCAACAATGAACCACACACGCACACACCCTGGTAGACAAAGTTAAATGGATGAAAGGTTGCTTCAGAGTTTTTATTGTTTCAGGATTCAGTATTGCAGCAATTAAGGCTATAATGCCACATTCACTTGCTTGGAAATAAGTTCCATTGATTTCAGTGGAATCATATGTTTTGAAAAAAAATATATATTAGCTTAGTAAATACATGCAGGAATTCAGTATGATAACTGTATAAAGAAAAGATACTTGCTTTTCACTGATTCATTCTGATGACGGAACCAAAATTGTGTGCGTACTTCCCCAAGAGTTGGATTTTCACATGGTCCAGCACTTACGGCTGAAAATGGGAAATTACTCACCTTTGAAACCTAGTACATTAAGTTTTGTTCATAATATCATTCTGCAATGGTAGACTAATCTCTGGTCAAAATGAGACGGAATGTAAGCTTGCAAGAGTTCCTTTTCATAAATGTGAAACCAGGGATTTTTAACTTCCATGTAGCCTGAAGTTCCTGATCCTGCCTAATCCAGAAGCTAAGCAGGTTTGGGTCTGGCTGAAATCTAGATGGTGACTGAATGTTGTAAACCACCCAGAAAGCTTTGGCTGCAGGAGGTACAGAAATGCAAATCATCTCCATCCCCATTTCCATTTCCATCGTCTCAACCTTCTGAAATGGAAGGGATGAATTCATTTATTTATTATTTATTCATTTAAAATATTGATATCCTATATGATAAAAACATCCGAGGACAGCTTACAAAAACTATAGCAATTGATAACAACAAATAGCAACCATAAACAGCAAAAACATAATGCCAGCAAAAAACCAAAAACAAAACCAAAAAGCTAATGTGAGTGTTAAAACCGATTACAATTTCAAATTCTTAAAATGGTGGGTAAATAAAAAGGTTTTCACTTGGCGGCAAAAGGACTATAAAATTGGCACCAGGCAAATCTCTCTCCATCTCCATCTCTACCTCCACCTTCAGAAATGGAAGGGATGAATTTTACCTTCTCAGCAACAACTCTGTAAGATAAGTTAGACTGAGAGTGAATGGCTGGTCCAAGGTCACTCAGTGAGGTTCATAGCTAAGTAGGGACTAGAACCCAGATCACTCATGTTCCCAGTCCAATACTCTAAACACCACACCACCAAATATCTACTCAAGTAGAAATAATCTACAGTGTTTTCTTAGAAACATTGTGGGCCATTTGAGAGGAAGCTACCATGTTCGTACCATGCTTGTTTTCCATATTCAAAAGGCTGCTCTCAGCAAACAATAGATAATATCGTGGAGATTGTAGAGACAACCACTAAAAAAAGAAAAGAAAAGTGAGTACAATGCTGTACATGTCTGCTTGGAAATAAGCATAATTTAGTTCAGTGGCCCAGGCAAGGATTCAGCTTAAGGCTATAACTATTGTTTTCCTTCTGAAATGTTCTTGCTTTTCTATATAACATTCTTTCTTTTTTCTTCTTTCTCACCTCACATTTGGATGCAAGCAATTAGATTTTGAAAAGAAGAATCTCTATACCCTAAAAGTTGAAGCAAGCAATACTCATCCTGACCCACGATTTCTCTACCTGGGACCATTTAAGGATTCAGCTTTGGTAAAAGTATCTGTAGAAGACATAGATGAGCCACCAGTGTTTAACATACCCTATAATTTAATAGAAGTAGATGAAGACGCCAGGGAAGGAAGTATCATCGGACAAGTGATAGCTCAGGATCCAGATGCAGCAAGGAACATAATAAAGTAAGTCACTTTTGATAAACATAGTGAAAATGCATTCAGAGCACATGCTCCTTATTGCATTTGTTACAAACAAACAAAATTTAAGAATAAATGTTGCTAAAAAGCCATTGTTTGAAATCCTATCATTTGAAGAGTCTGGTGGGCACCACTGTCAGGAAGAATAGGTTCACATTCCAAGCATCATTGGTATTCTATTATTATTTATGATTACATTAAAGAGTCTAGAGTGACTGATAGCTGGATCACATGTAGACTCCCAGTCTGTGAAGGCCAAGGAAAACTGTGGCATTTGACTTCAGACCCTTCTGGATTTCAGTCCTTAAGCCATTTACTCTGAAATAAGCATTTATTTCACTGGAAATTCAGTGAGACTATTTTGTTTGAGAGGGTTGTTGTGAATGCTATTTTTCAATACTGTAAGATCCAGTTAACTTGATTTATTCCTTTTGCTTACTCATGTCTCCACTCATATACCCAGTGTAACTTGAGAGGGAGTTACCTTTCAGATTTCAGAAACCAGTTAACATTTGGCATCTCCAATGTACATCTCAAAATCCAAGACATTCCAGTGGCTGAGGACAAGTGCTGAGATCCACACACTTTTGGCTCATAACTTACATTTATCCAAAAGATTCCCTCTGGAAGATTCTGGAAAATGCCTACTGGGCTCAGGTCTGACTACAAGCTTTCATGGTTCATAATGCTGCCTCAGAAAGGAGGAAAGTTGTTCTCTGTATTCTTATCTGAGAAGAATTTTCTGTTCACACACACACACACACACACACACACACACAGTGTCATTCCTTGCAAACCAGGAGAGATTCTGCCATGGCTTACCCTACTTGCAGGAAGTGTTTGCAGTCAGGGATCATGTGGTCTTCAAAGCTGCTCTAATATCCTTTCTGTTCCATATGGTGAAGAGAAGGCCTATTCAGACATCTGCTCTCATCAAACAGTCAAAACAGCCAAGGATATGGGGAGAGCTGGAAGCCACCTAGTAACTCTGGCTGCCTTTGACAGCTGCAGTCCTGCAGCTGTCTGACCCTGCATAGAACTCTTTGGGGCAAGATTCCTCTGTGGCTGCCATGATTCTTCCCCACTGGCTATGCTGGCTAAGCCTGATGGTATTTGGAATCCATCAACATGTGGTATGCCACATATTCCCCAGCCTGCCACAGCAAGCTACTGTCATTCTCTGGTATTACGTGCAGCAGTAAGTTCTGAAGTTCAGGCATTCATCATGTCAGTCCCAAGGAAAGCCCCAGAATTCAGGTATCTGTGTTGCTCTATACCAACAACCCAATTCTAGCAGGTTACATCACTAGCAGGAGCAAGTCTTGCAAAGCTGGTGGGTCTTAACCCCCGAATTCTTCGCATTGCAGCAGGGAACAATCAAAAGTCCAGGCTCCCTTTCTTCCTCTACCCCATGGGATAATTGCAGCCAAGCTCAGAAGGAACAGGGAAAGCAGACAAAGGTGATCAATGGCCTCAGCATACCTGCTGGTGAGCGAAGCACTGGCATGATGTCCCTTTGGACCTTGGCTCCACTACACTACTGGTGTGATGCGTAGGAATTTCTAGAAGGGACTTCCAACATCTAATAGCAACACCAACAGTCTTGCCATGAGCTGTGCATGTGCATCCATTCATGTGGCTCTGTAAATGTACAAAAGCGACTCAGAGGATTGAAACACCTGCTGCAAAGCAGGCAGCCAAAACAAGAACAGCTGTGAAGGAAAAGACAGCATTCCTTTATTCCTAATATGTTTCGAGTTAAGATCTTTTTAAAGCAAAGTTTTCTTAACAATTCTGACACTGACAAATAAAATGAGCATATCAACATCTGGATTCTTTGAAAACATCATTGCTATCAAAATGATACCTTATGCCAGTTAAATCATTAAAATTATCAAAAGAAGAAACAATTTACTATCCACACGCACATACTTATTATGATCCAAGGGGGTCGACTTATGATTATTTACAGGTATCATTAAACTTTTCTAAAAACCTGCTCTTAATACTGTTTTCCAAAGAATTTTTTTCAGATGCACATTTTTAAAAGTAACAAAATACCCTTTCCATATAACCCAGGTATTATTTCTTTGCTTTTCATTTTGAAATATATTACATCTCTGTAGGGATGATTTTTAAAGTATCACTAGAATAGTTTTAAAGCAAACTCATAGGTTTTCTGGAGCATGGCTACAGTCTTTTCTACTTCTTCAAATGTGCCTTTACAATATGATGATATGATATGATATGATTGAGATGAGATATGATATATTATATATACTGTATAAAGAGAGAGGTGAAAAAAACTATCACTGAATGTGTGGAATTAAAATTTGTTGATGTTAAGAACAAACTTTTACCAAAATCTAAAATTATTGCCACTACAATTATTTTTTCCATGAGTTTGGTTTTTAATCATGAAAATATTTTTAAGTCTGTTGTTTTGATTATTCTAATATTTTAAGGTTAAAGCATGAACTACTCTTTGGTGCATGCACACATACAACAATAACATGTTAAAACAGAGAGTTGTTTGGAATGAGTTCAAAGCTTTTATTTCTACGTTTGTTATTTATACACCTATTTCAAAGTAGCATTAGAAAGAAACAATTTTTATGATTCCACAGACAAAGAGAATTTTCACGAAGCTAAAAGTTACAATTTTAACATTGACCGAGATGAACTATCAAGTTCAATCCTATGCCTTTTTAGACAAAGAAATAACCTACAGCCCCCGGTATGTTCCAGCCAGTTTACTGGGAGTTGTGGACATTCTTCTTTCTAAAGCTGATTAGGATCATGCCCTAAATTTAGGCATCACTGTTTTAAGGGCCTAACACTGCATGTATTGACTGAGAAGTACATCCCATTGTTTTCCATGGGACGTACTCCCAAATAAGTGTATTTACAATTGTTGCCCATGTTAATGTCATTGAGCTTAAGCTGCTCACCTAACAGAAGTTCTTTCCTATTTCTAGAGTCTCAGAATTTGCATTGTTTAGTTTGCTATTGGATATGTTTCCAAAAATAAAAATGGTGGCTATCTAAATAAACATTTCCAGCATTGGGTGGTTAGAGCCAGTTTCTTACAATTTCTGACTTGCAATTTATGAAAGTGAGATGAAGATTTGTAACTTCCTCCCTCCCCAAAATATCATGCAGCATCTAAAGCATTTGCATTTGGCTATATGTTGCCTTGTCCAAGTTGCAAGTGATATTTCACTTGATGTAACAGGTCAATAGCAGTCCTTCGGCTTTTCAAATGTGACAGTTTCCCTAAGACAAGTGCAGATGGCATAGTAATTGGATTCACAGTGATACAGTCCACTATTGATAGATAGCAGGTGCTTGGTTCAGGTCCCACAAGCTAATCTCTGTAGGCCTGCAGGCTGGTGGAAGCAATGAATGGGGTATTGGTGACAATTTCTTCAAGGTGTTGTGAAGATTAAGAAGTGTTGGCTAAAAATGTACAGCAGAAGACATGCAATGTTTCTTCTTAGAGACACTCACCTTTGTAAAAGAAGTCCAGTGGATAGATAACTGGTGGGTGTTATATCCAGGGACGTGAAGAAGAATTTCACTATTTTAATCAAAAGTAGATATGGCCAGGCACCTGCCAATGGTCCAGGCCCTAGCAGAATCCAGTTGAGAAGAGATCACTGGACCTGGTTCTTGTTTTTCACCATTGCAACCTGGCCTGCTGGTTCACCTGCTTCTCTGTCTGGGTAATGGTGGTGGTGAAAAGGACAACTCAGTGCTGCTTCATGGTTGTCCACTGATTCTCTGCCTTTCAAGCAAGCAAATGGCAGTTATTATGACACACAGCATGAGGAATTACCACTGCTTCCAACTGTAGCAATAAGAAGGTAGACTCAATGAGAGAGGAGGCACATGCCTTGACCAAGGATCTGGAAACCTAGAGCTGGCACTGCTTCAGAGTTCTCTGCTGGGTTCACCCATTCCCATGAATGGCTGATGCAAGGCTGCAGTCACTGCAGATTGTTTTCCTGTGTTTCACTCCTCCCTTCAGACTCTTGGTCTTCTCCACTCCCTCCAGGAAGAACAATTCAATTTTGCAAGTCGCTGTCATGGGACAATGAATTCCCCAGACTTGGCAGTCTCATGAGCTATTCTATTTCTTTGTTGTGGACTTAAGGAAATTGAATATGAATTGTAACCCACATGACCAAAAAAAACACCCACCTGCACGGATAAGGCCAGCATGTCACGAAGTATATTTTTTGTTTATTTTATTATTTGCATGCTCATCTAGATAATTTAATTACTTTGAATATTTCTACATTATCCTTAATTATCAAGTTGTAGGTCTGTGTAGAAAAATAATTTAAACAATTATTTAATAAAATGCAAAAATATAGACCACTTCATAGCAGCTAGGCCCTACTAGGCTGAATTTCTCCTTTAGGACTCAGCAGTTTGTTTTTAAAGGCAGGACTTCTGGTGTGTGTGTGTGTGTGTGTGTGTGTGTGTGTGTGTGTGAGTGTGTTTGGAAGGATGTTTCCTTTCTTTTTCCCCCTTCTTCCTTTATGTCTTTAACCACGGAGATATCTAAGCAAGGAACACCTGTCCTTAAGGCATGTCCTTCCCAATATTTTAAATCCACCTCCAAAACCCATTTATGCAAAACCTTTCTTGGAACAGTATAAATTCAGGGCTCTCTCTTACCAAACATACTTTTGGTTGGCTTCCCTTCATCAGAGAAATCTATAATATGGGAGATTTGTTAATATGGGAGCTTATGGGGAACTGACTTGATTATAGGAACCCACTTATTGAAAGGATAGGATTTTACCACACTCCCCTGATTTTATTCATCACTTTATTCATTATGCAGGGTACACATTAGTGTTTTTAATTCAGGAGCACCCAGAGTATTCATGTTTTTTTTCCTATATCCATCCAGTCACTTTTTCAGAATTGAACAAAAAATACTACATTGTTGAGTTGACTTGGTCCGCTAAGGGGTGTTTGCTCATGACTTGGATATTTTCTTTATGCTATACATTTATTTGTTTGTTTGTTTGCCTTTTATCCTGCATCATTAGCCAGGAGGGTCCCTGGCGCATGCCCTACTTCATGACTTCTGTAAGCCTTATCTAACCTTCTGCTTCTTCTGATTAAGGCAATTCTTCATACAATGCCTATGTTCCTATGGATTTCATATGAGATCATGAGAAATGGGAATATGGTGGCCATTTGCAAATCATCCTATACATACAACACACATCACAAAAAGAAGGACAAAAGAAGACTCTTATTTTCATTAAAAATTCTTATGCAGATTTAGGCTGGAAAAGTGTGACTAGGTGACCTTGTTCAAATTGCTGTCCATTTGATGCTAATCAGGAGCTTCAAGGCACAGTGATCATTATCTTTAAACTAGATGTCGGCAGCAATTTGGATAGAGGACTCCATCAAAACAAAGAACCATAATATGACCATATTAATTAGGAACATTATGTGTTGCCTTTACCCCTGGAACTTGCACATCATCTAACAGATTATACAGGGTG